GATGCTGCTTGGCCTGCTGTGTTCATCCAGCCCTGCACCTTGTTGTCCTAGATTTATCAACACGTTTTGGTAACTGATCAAAGCTAGCTTGTCAAATACAATATCATGCAATCACCATAGAAACAAATTCTTGCAATATATGCAAAGTTAAGTTGGAAAGTAAATTGAACACCACATAACAGGCTTGTACGATCCAACCACTGATGCTGTATGTGCTCATAAAAATACCTTTTCTATAATATCCAAGAGATTATTAAATTGAGGGGTGTTGCAATCTTCTGCCAAGTCCACCAACAGCTGGGAAGCCAACCTTCGTACCATGTGATCTTTATCATCCGCAATATGCCCCAGTTGGGGGATCACTATAGCTTCAATCAGCTCCTCCTGTTTAAAAAAAAGACAGCATTTGCCTTGGAGTAACAAGCACCACCTCCAGAATCTTCTGTATTTGCAATAAGTTTTACCTGATACAAACATTCCTATGGAAAATATCCAAATTCAAACTCAATATATGACGCTTGTAATTCAAAGTTCCCTTTCGCAAATTTAAATACTTCAGCTGATTAAAGAAAAAGCAGACTTAATTTGAAAACTTATGAGGCGGGCACAGGGAAGGGGCTGCACCACTGCAAGGGGTAGAGATGCAGAGTTTTGATTGCTGTCATGCTCTCACCTAACTGCATGGAAGTACTTAGCTTCCACTTAGAATGCCCCAAACTATAAATACACCTAAACTAAGATTTTAAATGCAAAGTTCAGCAATACCGACCTGCAGCCTACCATGGCATACCATAGTGTGATCGTAACACACTGTTATACAAAATTCCTAGCCTACTTTAACATGCACTCTTCTACCTTTGCACTTACCTCGTACAGTTGCCGATTGATGCTCAAGACAAATGACAAAACATCGAGAGTTTTCTTGCGAATGGTGCTCCGATTCTCAGTCCTGAGGGATGATATTGGACCAAGAAAATGTTTAATCACTAAAATATTTCACACAAAAATAAACTGCAGTTATTTTTCTATATTGATAGAAGTGCATATCACCCAAAAGCTACATCAAAAGGAGTAAAACAAAACTCAAACAGAAGCTTATATATTACATCACAATATCACCATCTCATTCAACATGCTTTGCAGTGGTACAGAGTTGCATCCTAAGCATTAAGTGGTCTAGTTTGGATATCATCAATTTTCAACACCCTCCCACCCCATAGAATTTACCTAAAATAGTCTAACAGAAACTGTTACTAGGATAACTACTGGGCATGGCTAGTTGAGGTCATGAAGGTGGCTACTTACCTGAAGAATTTCTCCATTAGTTCCTGCAGATTTTGAATCCAGTAGTGTTTTGCAGGGTGAATAGACTGAGCCCGGTAGGACACAAGTGTTAAGACAGAGATCTCCTTAAGCCAGAAATATGCAGAATGTTAGTATGCACCAGTACTTACTCTTTGTCACAAGTAAAATAAGCATTTGATTCTAGTACGAAATAGGTTCAATCCCTGACCTTGCAAGATTGAATTAATTTAGAGCAAAATGTCATTGTCATTTATCAATAGGCAACTGAAGCTTAGGACCACGATGATGACTTGTCAGCTTGGTCTGATCTTCCACTTTAGATACATACGCAATGCATGTTTACTCCTACAATAACAGTGTCAGATAACCCCTAAACAGGCTGAGGCAGGAGAAATTAAAATGAAGAATAAGGAAATAATAGAGGCCTATAAACAAATATTTTGCAGCTGTCTTCACAGCAGAAGGCAAAAATATACTAAATATAATGGTTACCAAGAAACAAATGAGGACATTAAGTAATTGACATCAGTACGGACAAACTGCTGTGCATCAAATAGAACTCAGAGCTGACATTTCCTTGGATTTGATGGTTTACATTCTCGAGATGCATTAGTTGCAAAGACCAAGACTGACCATATTACTGAATAGGGGTACTGAGCTGACTCCAGCTTCTATACTTCGTTATGTGCACAGATTATACTTTGCAGCTGTTTGACATTTATCGGAATTTGTTAGCTTGAACATTTTCCACCTTGATGAACTGTAATTTCACCAAAGGTGATTGAAGTAATTTTCAAGTCTTACCGGTCTCTTATCAGAGCACTTCTCAATCAGTGTGAATAATCGCTCCTGCGGACCATGATAATCATTCTGCTCATACAACTCCTCTATAGTTGTTAGCAGTTCGTGTACAATAACCGACAGCTCATGGCTACCTAGTGTCTAAAATACAATGAAGACAAGAAAAAGGAGATTGGTACATTAATGAGATATCTAATCACAACATCAGGATGCAAGAGTCAAAGGCAAGTTATCTGAATTCATTCCAACGAGTGGTACTTATAACAAGACTTTCAATAGTTAGAAATATTTTTCACAAAAGGATTTGGATTCACCAAAGTGAAATTCTAATGTCAAATAAACACAGATAGGTTTTTTTTTTCTTTTAAATTCATAGTTACACAGGTGTGTATTAGTTGCCTGAAGATGAGCCGCCTTGCTGGGCTACCTCAGATGACCACTAAGAGTCAATCATGTTGAAACCATGCAAAGAGAGTTTCTTTATTGATTGGACATTAATGAGCCAATGGGTTTATTCCAATAAGCTAACATTTTCATGAACTTGATTTCAAGGTTTTTATTTTCATTTCTCTTACTCTGAATTTCAAATTCTCAAAACGCCATGGGTTTGAACTCACCTTCATTGACTAGGAGTCCAGTAACATAACCATTAAACTGTAGTATCTATGCTTAAAGAAGTTTAATGCATGGAAATTTGAGCTTTACAGCTTTGGCTATGGAAGCACAAATAACAAAAGGAATGACAATGGGAGAATTTTTTTTTAAAATGATCTCAGTCTAAAGTGATCCAGGCTGAAAGGGCAATAGAAACAGATTCAAAAGTAATTTTGTAAAGTAATTGGGTGTATGCTTCAAAAGGAAAAATTTGCAGGGCTACACAGAGAGACAGGAATAACCTCTTTCAAACTGTTGACACCAACATGATGAACAGATTATAGTCTCTTCCTATGCTGTGATATTTTAAATAAATTAATCACAACCTCATTGTAAAATAAGACCTCAAACCCAAAATGCCTGTTGACATCACAAATATGTTTGAAATTATTGACAGTTTAGGAACCGTTACAATGGGAATAAAATTGAACAGTGCACATCAGCTGACAGTCATTGACTGGCCACCAGTTGACACTGAAATCAACTTTACTGTAGAGTGAACTATTTTTCTTCTCTCCAAAGAATTTTATTTGCATCCAGTGCAATCAAGTGTATACCTTGGATAGACTGCAGGCAACTAGAAGCTCAGCTTCAAAGAAAATGTTAATATTCAAACACACCAAATTACAAACTCACCTGGACTTGTTGCAGTAATCTTTCAATAATATTTAAAAGTTGTTCCCAGGTAACCACCTGCAACTCTTTTCCATACTTTTTGATTAATCGAGTGATAGATAGGACAATTTCATAGGATACTACTGCATTGGCACTTGTCATAGCCTGAAAGAAAATCAACAGTTGCAGTTTTAATAGATTTATTTTTATATAAATTCCAATTTGAACAGATTGTCTAATAAATATCCAGTTACAGAGTTTAATAATGCTTGAAATACAGGTCATCTAATATAACCAAGTGCCCAATATTGACAAAGTTAGAAGATCTACAGTAGCTAATGTTAAGCAAAATCGGCAATAATTTTGAACGAGTTAGTGAATGATCAATATAGTCAGTATTAGTGTTTAGTATTAACTGAGTTACAAAGTGCCCAATACTGACTAGATTCGTTGGCAATATTAGCCTAGTTTTTAAATACTGAACGAATTAGGGAGTGAGTAAGTTACTGATTGTTCAATAAGGACCATAGCTAATCAGCTTGTATTAAATTGCAGATTTTGGTCATCAGTGGCAGTAGTTAATATTGATAGCAAGTCTGTACATTATGAATTTTAACCACATTTCTTGTCCAACATTTAATCAATGTTGAGCATAGACTGAGTTACTACATATGGTCATTTTGGATAAGTAAAAGAAAATCCTTTTTATTAAGCAACACTTGCACCTAGAGACAATGAGATGTACTTCAGAAGACAACAAAAACTGGCTATGTCAAAGAAATGGCAGACCAATATATACTTTAGTTCTGTCTTCACAAAAGAGGAGACAAATAAAGGGACCTAATGGGAAGGAGGAATTGAAAGAAATTAGTATTAGTAGGGAAGAGATGTTGAAGAAACTAACAGGATTAAAGGCAGATAAATCCCCAGGGTCTGAAAACCTTCATCCCAGAATACTCAATAGAAATAGCAGATGTGTTTTGCCATCTTCCAAAATTCTATAAAACTCTAGAACAGTTTCTACGATTTGGAGGGCAGCTAATGCAACCGCATTGTTTAAGTGGGGGAGCAGAGAGGAAAGAACGAATGACAGACTGGCTAGCTCAACACTTATAGTGGGGAAAATACTAGAATTCGTTATTTTAAAAAAAAAATTATAACAGAGAAGCTGGAACTTAGGACAGTCAACATAGATTTATGAAGGCCAAATCGCGTTCAACAAATCCAATGGACTCTTTTTGAGGATGTAACTAGTAGTATGGGTAAGGGCAACCAGTGGATGTGGTTTGCTTGGATTTTTAGAAGGCTTTCCATACGACTCCACATAAGAGATGTGAAAAATTAAAGCAAATGGGATTGGAGGTCATACACTGAAATGGATTAAGAACTGGTTGGCAGACAAGAAACAGTAGGAATATATGGGTCTCTTTTCCCCCAAGTGGCAGACAGTGATTAGTGGGGTACTGCAGGGATCAGCGTCCACAACACACATTAAATGATTTAAATAAGGAAACTATGTGTTATATCTCCAAGCTTCCAGATGACACACAGCTGGGTGAAGGGGGCAAGCTGTGAGGAGCATGCAGAGACGCTTTAGTGTGATTTAGACAAGTTATGTGGGTGGGAAAATACATGGCAGATGCAGTACAACGTGGACAAATATTCAGTTATCCACTTTGCTAGCAAAAAAAAAAAAATAGGAAGACAGATTATTATCTGAATGGCAATAGATTGAGAAAGGGGAGGTGCAATGAGCCCCCATATCCTCATGCACAGTCTCTGAAAATAAGCAGGCAGGTGCAGACGACAAACGGTATGCTGGCCTTCATAGCGACAGGATTTGAGTACAGCAGCAGGAATGCCTTGCTGCAGTTTTACAGTGCATTGGTAAGACCACACCAGGACCATTGTGTGTAGTTTTGGTCTGCTTATCTGAGGAAGCCTGTACTGGTTATGGAGGGAATGCAAAGAAAATTTAGCAGACAGACACCTGGAATGGTGAGACTGATGTATGGGGACAGACTGGATCAGTTAGGACTATGTGCACTTGAGTTTAGAACAATGAGGGGGTGTCTCATAGAAATCTATAAAATTCTAACAGGATTAGACAGGTTAGGCGCAGGAAAGATGTTCTCTATGTCTGTGAAATCCAAAGAAACCAGGGGTCAGTGTCTAAGGATAAGGCAGGGGGAAGGCCTTATACAACAGATCAGCAGAATTTTTTTTCACCCAGAGAGTGGTGAGCCCGTAGAATTCTCTGCCACAGAAAGCAGTCAAGGCCAAAACATAAAACTATATCTATCACCTTCCTAAAAACATTTGAAAGGCTAACGGGATCAAAAGGACATGGGAAGAAAGCAGGAATAGGGTACTGAGTTGGATGATCAGATTCAATGACTGAAAGCTTGAAGGGTCAATGACCTTCTCCTGCTCCTCCATTCTATCCTTTTATAACCAAGGTGGCAATTGAGTAAGACAAACATTTGACAATCATAAGCTTGTTTTTTCTGAGTCTTAGCAGTGTTTATTGCCTTACATTTGAAAGGCAAACTAAATATGGATCCCTAAATTAATCCCTAAATAAATCATGTCAATTATTGGAATGGCTATTGGAATGGCTTCTTAAGATCAAGGCATAAAGTCTGCAACATAAATAGCTTTTGTCAGAAGTTTGACTACAAAGTCCCGGTTTAGAACAATAAACTATCTTCTGGTTAAAAATACAACCCAGTTTTACCTTATAAAAAGAGGGTAAAACAGACGTTGGGGTGCTCTTCAGGGTAAAGAGACGATGTGCACCCCAGAGAGCCATTCCAACAAAGAATACTGCACCTCTTAATAAAGCCGCATCATCTGTGTGCACTCTAACACCAGGACAACAAAGTTAAAAACAAAATCATTTACAGGATATTTAAGAGGAACAAAAATTATATAAACATTTTACCACATATATATCAAACAACTTGAAAAAGTGACAAGTCACTTAAATACTTAAAGCACTTTTGATAAAAAGTATAGAATAAAAACATAACCATACTTATCCTCCATAATGCGACACATTGTATAAATTGCACTGTGGCCCAGATGTGTTCCCAAGACTTTGCGCATCAGCTGGAAAAGGAAAAACCTATTAAGCATTTACGTCAAGGTCTAATCCCTTGCAATGAGATTCATATTACACCGGTAACAGTGTGGAGCTGGAGGAACTCAGCAGGCTAGGCAGCATTGGAGGAGCAGGAAAGTTGACGTTTTGGGGCGGGACCCTTCTTCAGAAATGGGGGAGGGGGAAGGGAGGTCAGAAATAAACAGAGAGGAGGAGTGGGGCTGGGGAAGGTAGTTGGGATGGTGATAGGTGAGTGCAGGGGGGATTGGTTAGTGAGGTGGGAGGAGCGGATAGGTGAGAGAGATGATGGACAGGTGGTGTCAGGTCAAGGAGATGGGGATGAGAGGAAGGGTTGATCATGGGATGAGGCCAGGGTTGGGGAGATTTTGAAACTGGTAAAATCCACATTCAGGCCATTGGGCTGTAGGCTGCCAAGGCGGAATAGGAGGTCCTGCTCCTCCAGTTTGTGGGTGGTGTCATTGTGACACTGGAGAGGCCCAGGTTATACATGTCACACAAAGCTATTTGCAATTTCATACTAACTTCCAAGACGTTCATCAATAAAGAGTTTTGGGGAACTAACATGCCAATCTGATCAACAGATATGTGCGGATCTCTCAAGTCATCTGTTGTCTTAAACAAAAATGCATTGCCCAATTCTGGAGACAAGAAAACCTATTGCATACTCAGCAGAAATAACTACTGCACAGTTAACAAGTTAAACTCTTCTGTTTTAACAACAACCATAGATAATTCTGAACTAAATGGGGATAATTATTTTTAAATATTTTGTTCACTGTCTTACTCTAACTAGCTAAATAGTTCAAAACTTCAAACGTTTGCATTAAGTGCTAGCAGTACATTTACATATAAACCTTAAGGCTTGGTTACATCACTCATCAAATAATGGCAAAGTTGTTGGCAACACCTTTGCAAAAATGGTCTCTGGAAGAACTTCCGAGGGAAGGTGATCTAACTTTTAAAAAGTGATTTCCAATATTTACATTTGCACAGTTATACAAGTACAAAATCATACCTTCCAACAGGACTCACAGAATTCCTTGACATTAACTGTGCGGCAAAGCGTAATGATAAATCCCGGAAGAGACTCAGAAGGCAAAGAGTTATAGCAAACAATAGCATCAAGGACTTGCAAGGAAACCTGAAAGAAAAGATTTTTCTACATTAAAATTTGTTAAATATTTATGTGACAGTACAAATTATGCCGTGCTATATTTACATTTGGATGGATATATAAATAGACATAGACTCTCACAAAATGAGGTTAGAGAAAAGGAATGAAAGGGAAAGCAAGAAGAAAATTTGGGAACAGTTCTTGCACAGATAATAAGGTTGATAATCACTGCTTAGGCACAATTTATACTTTGCTATACTTTCAAACTTGCCAAAAACAATACAACCAAATTTTTAGAATATGAATCTTGAGGACAGACAAACTGAACACGTCTCTGATAATGTGCAAAAATCAGAAAATCTTGAAATTGCTTTTATTTATTTTCAGCCAAACATCATAGTCTCAACTGCGGAACATCATTTAGCCAATGAATTATCAAATGAATGGTGGGCTGGGCAAACATGATAGATACAAGTAATACTGCAAACCATTGTCCAAAATAAATACACACGTGGCACATGGAGATCACACCAGTGTGGCTCCTAGGATTCTACAAACATACATTAGGAGTGGACCAAATCAGCCTCTTGAGCTTGCTCCACCACTGATTAACCTCAAGATCATGGTTTATTTGATTGCAATCTCAAATACACATTCCCAGCCACCCTGATAACAAATGATTTTAACAGTGAAAAGTTTAGAGACCACACCACTTCGTTTGTTTGGACTACAATCTGAAAATAAGAAGGGACATTGCAAAGAGTTATTTGCAGCTTTGGAAAAAGTGAAGCTAACTGATGTTTATGCAACTATGTTACTTTTGAGAGGCAGTGCCCAGACAAAGCGAGACTAGCTACTTGATCAGGCCACATCTGCCCATAGATAGGGTTTTGATTTTCAAGTGGTACCGGTTGTTATGGGTTCAGGAGAGCTCAGCTCAACAAACCCCTGAACGGTCGAGCTGCAATTTAGCACAGATTCAGTGAGGAGGCTGAAATGGAGAGATGCAAGGAGACCTCCATAGCTAACTGCATCAATCTCATTTTCTCCCCTTACTCGGTAAAATTGCTTTCTCCAATTTTCTATCAAAACAGCAGGAAAGCAAATATCTAGAAATGCTGAAAGAAATACTTTTAAAACACAAAGACAACCAAAAAGACCCTGAGTCAAATCAAGCAACCAGTGAACTACAGACTGATCATCGCTGGGCCAAAAACTTCAAGGTGTCATTGAAGAAAGAAAAACGGCAATGGAACCAACCCATCTAGCTTTGTAATTTTGCACTGACAATACAGAACAGTGTTCCTCTCATTATTTGGTTCCTCCACTCATAACATTTGTGTTTGTCTTGCACGTGACTGTCTTGTGTGCAGAGTGTGCGTATGTGTGCATGTTAGTTAAGACAGGTAAAGTCTAAGAAACAAACTAGAAGTCACACCTTTTTAAACTGCTTTTTTTACATTTAAAAGAGTCTTACAACAGTATTTTTTATTGTTACTGAAGTAACTTGGCGCAGATAATATATTCTCATTAACGGCAAGTCAGAGGCAAAATGGGATATGGGGTAGTTTAATTAAATCCTAACATTTGTCATGATACTAGGAATAGTGGGGCTTGATTTCCAGTGCACTTCCCCAGTGGGTCATGACACACTCAAGGGCTTTACTTCCACCATCTTTTCAGAAAGAGCATTCCAAAGACTCTCAAACCTCAGAAAAAGTTTCGTCTCATCCGTTTTAAATTGGCAACCCCAAGTTTGAAAAAGTGACCGCAAGTTTGAGATGTTTTATTTGAAGCATCATCTGTTAATTCATGCTTAACTTGCATTGATTTTAATGCATGTTTAGTTAAACATCGTAACATCTTGACAAATTTTCATGTACTCAAGTCTGGCTTTTGTAAAAGAACAGCAGTTTTACTTGTAAGGGTTCTGAAAGCAGATGAACATCTTGGTTTGAGGGTGATACAAGATCTATTACACATTCTCACTCGGCAGCCTGTGCTTACATTTTCTACGAGTGTGACAGTCACATCTCCATCACACAAGCTAACTACTCTAAAAGTATCAATTTTCAGGAACGAATATCAAGTTCACATCAACTCATTAATTCACAATACCTATATGAAGAAATCACAAAAATGTAAGGGCTCGTCTAATTTAGGAGTCTGATTCAGTTGCCAACAAAAACACTTACAGGTACATTGTATTTACCCAAAAGGTTTTACATGAAAACAATACATAGCATACTACACAGATTTATGTTTGCAGCTATAGGCAACTTTCTAAATAATTTAAAACACTCTTGAAAACTGACAAGTACTGAAAATCTCCACAGTAACACAAGATTAAGTGTACATGCTGAATATCAGACACTAACCTCTATATCTGTTGGCACTGTGGTCAGGTTACAAAGTACACAGATTTTACTGTAAAAGAACAAAGCAGTATATTACTGTATCACCATAGACAGAAAAAACATTTGGAACTGGAAATAAGCAAATTAATTACACACAAACCTTACAATAAAATAGAAAAGTTCAAAATTACTCCCAGCTGTTTTGCTATTATTTTACAGCTATGATTTTGTATTTTAAAAAGGTTTTAGACAATTCTATACATAATTCTTTTATTTATCTGAAAAAAAGGCACCAAATGGATAATATCAGAATGAAGTGCAGAAGAAATGGTGCTACAGTATGCCTGCCAATACAGACATGCAGTGCATTAAATATTTTAATGGATTCAATCAAAAGTAACAGACAGTCTACCAAGTTCTTGTATAACAAACTGTTGCTGCATGTAAATCAAGCTACAGCCTAAACCAGTTACAATGGGTCACTTAGCTTGATCATAAGTATTGATTTTAGACAGTAGCAGCAAGCTATATGGAGTTCTTCAAAAAAGAAAAATTGGACCAGGGATGGAAGGTACAGGGAACATACAGGGAGAACTGAAGCCAAAATTTTACCTTCAGTTTATGACAATTGCCATTCATTAGGTCTACAAAAGTCAACTCAGGCCTTGTATATGACAATAAAAATTTATAAGCTCATTACATCAGGCCACCACAGGATTTAGCTTCACACGGTTCAGAGGATTTGTGTTGATAAACAGTTTAGACAATTCCGACCATCAACCATACTCTAACAGCAAATTTAATGAAACACCCATACATACTCACTGGACTATCTGAGCCACAATTAGATCCAGGTAGCAGCTGTTGAATTTGACGAGATTGACTAGCACCTCCAGAAACTCCGCAGTGAGACCAATATCCAACCACTTGAGGACAAAAGAGGCTTTAACACAAAAAAAGAAAAACACACAGACACACAGGCAAGATCATATATTGCCTACAATGCAACTGTCAACTGTCTCATTCTTAGATAGCATCAAAACAATTGCCAAATAATAAAATAAACCCAATCATTGGTATTCTAAGTCTTGAACAGCCAATAATTCACCACTCTCAAAATGCAGCACAGCATGTCAAGGACCTCAAAGTATCACAGTTGGGAGATGCAGGCTCGCATCCTACTCTCCTGCTAAGCAAATCTTATGAGCTTAACCTCGATTTGTGGATGTACTTAAAAAAGTGAGGGGGGCAGTCACTCTGCTTTACTCTTGATTGCTCTCCAAATAGTCAGTGTCAGGCCTTAAGAAAAAGGTCTGGCAAGTGGTCAAATACCTTACTGGCTGGAGGCTCCAGGATACAGAAATATCCAAAAAGGGGACAGATAGAAGGATGTCAGGGTATTCTCAAAAGAAAACAGCATATTGTGTGGGAAAAAAAGAGAATTCCCCATGTCTATGCACTCCATGGTACAAAGGGAATACTGACCCCACCATTTCTACCGTTGGGTTGGGATTGGTCTTGGGTCAGGGATACAGTAAACAATTTTACATCAGAGACTACTTAAAAAACCTCAGCAAACTACAGTAAACAGGACAACAGTAGTCTCCTGATAACACAGGATAATCTTTCCAGCAAAACGAAAATGAGTGGAGGATAGTTATATCTGGTAAATTATCTGCACAAAAAAAGTTTCAGTTGTTTTCAGCAGTGGTGTCTCCAATGTGATTATTAGGAAGAAATTAGCAAATTGTCACTCATTCTGACTGAGAATAATAGTGTCTAAAGAAAATTGCAATTACTTATTACTCTTATAATTATAAGAATTACAAATTCACCACTTAGCTATCTGCAAGATCACTTCTTGTCATTCATGTTAATGCAATATGTCAAATGGCACAGAGATGTTTGAAAAAAAATGTAAAATGTTCAAAATCTATTCCAAAGACATTTCTAAAGGATGGTTCACTTAAATGTGGCACAGGCAGGTGTCAATACAATGGTGCTGAATGTTGGAGGGAAGTGTGTGCATGCATCTCTATTCTTAATAATTTTAAATGCCATTACTGCAGTCAGCATAATTTGATTACTAGCACTATGATCTCAAAACCAGATCTACAAAAATTAAGTTTGAGTCTTAACAACAATTTCAACATCAACGTAGCCAAAGATCTTCCTAAATACATCACACACATACACAAGTCTTCCTCCAAATAGGTGATGTCTTTTCCATTTTCTGTTAGTGCTTTGAAGACCTCAAGTCTCTCGAGCAGGTCACCATTTACTGGGTAATCCTTGATGATGAGGAAGAAGTGTGCACGGATTGGCCCGAGCCTTTCACCCTAATTAAACAAGTGTACGGAGACAGTTTGTTAAATACACTGGAGAAGGGATTTCATAGTACAACAATGTGCCTTTACACAAATGCAACTAAAATAGTAAAATATCCAAACTTGCCTTAATCGTTCAAGGTTATTGGAATACTCAATCTTTTTGCCTTTCCAAGACATCACTGTGATAAAGAGAGCTTCATAACAATTTATAACTATATTTCGAACCAGTGACTTGCTCCTGCAAAAGGTTAGTCTCATTGAAGGAACAAACAGTATGGGGTAGTGCCATGGCAACAGATCAGAATCCCGAATTGGTACGGACATTTTTCAACTTTTAATCCAAAATCTATTTATAAAGAGGACTGCTACGGACAAAAAAAGGACTACAGATGTAAATTTTGGGCTGTCTGGCAAAGTCCTGCATGGGACACATGGAATATCACACCCGAAGACTATCAGGGAAACTCCAAACAGGGAGAGAGAGAGATATAACCAGCAAAGATAACGAAGGGGCTGAATATCTCTCCTCACAACCCCAGGTTTTCAGCAAAGAGCCACTTGTTTCAACCATTTTTTTCTGTTTTACTTTTCCAGGAATATATAAAAAGGGTAAAGACAGACTGCAACTCTGGTCCCTGTGTTTTAGTGGAAGGAGAGCTAGCAGAAGGAGATGCGCTTGTGAACACAAGTTTTCATGTGTACTAGTCTGGGTTCAGGTGCTGATGTGCTGTGAAGTTCACAGTCAAAGAACCACAAATAGTCACCCCTGGTTTTGTAGGTATAAGTACTCGTCTGAGTGCTGAACCATAACAATCCAGCAAGCCAGTCAGACAGGAACAGGTCAAGAAGAACTCTGAATGTTCCAGTCAACTACTGTTAGCAAACCTGCAGAATACAAACCCTAAATGAAGTGTTCAACTAGCAATGTTCCATTATTTCTCTTCATGAGCAACCCAAAGACCGATCTGCATATCTTTAAATTTTTATTTTGGACCCCTGTCTTATTCCTAATCTACGCATATTTGCATTGTGACGTTAATTATTTTTGCATTTGGGAGCAAATAAGTTCACATCTTTTTAAGTCAAGAAAACCTGGTTAAGTTGGCTCATTTTAAAACATAAATTCATTTAATCTGGGAGAAAGGTATCCACAAAGGAGGGAACACTTCTAAATTAATCTCATTGCAGCCAACCGTGGGGAGGGTGAATAAAGAAGGGGAACCAGCTCATCTGTCTTCATCAGGAGCTAAGAAATGTGGGGTGCCTGTTTGGAACCATAATAATTTGGGCTCATCTGGGGTCTAGTCATAACTGTAGGTAGACATACACAACTTAAGAATGGAGTTCAAGGCAATGGTGAAGAAATAGCAATAGATTTCCAAGTCAGGATGGTTTTTGGTTTGCAAGTTTACATTGAGAATTTGAGAGCTTTGTGCCCAGCCATATCTGAAGATATGACCAACTTTTAAATGTTTTATAAAATTCTATGATTTTGTGGGCGTTCATTCCTAAAGGTTACTTTATTACAACTTGCCAAAACAAAAAAAAAAGGATAGGGGAGACCACAGTGGGATTTAAAGAAAGAGACGAGAATTTTAAAATGGAGTCTTTGTTAGGCCAGGAACCAACGATGAATGGGACTAGGAGAAAATTAGGATACAGCCAGAGTTGCAATGACTCAAGTTGATGCAAGGTGGACAATAGGCAAGTCCGGAAAGCACTAGAATAATCAAATGTACAGGCTATAAAGGTATGGATGAGAATTTCAGCAGATGAGCTGAGAGGCCGATGTCAGGCAATGTTATCAAACAATTAATACTGCGGAATTAAATCAATAACACTTTTAAAGGGAATAAACTCAACTCAAGACTGATACTGCAATAACAGAAGAAATGAAAGGATCATAAGAAGTACAGTTGGAACTGGGATAAAACTAGTATTTTGCTCACCTGCCCCTGAATAATCGCCTTCATCAGTTGCAATACTGCATGCCTAGCCTCTGAGTGATCATCAGAAATCAAGTCATCCACAGCCTGCCACACAGCTTCCACCGCATGCTTTAATCACAAAAAGAGAAAATTTACATTAAACAGAATAGATATTCTCATTCCAATAATGAAATGAAATGAGTTGCAGAAATCTAAACTTAGAAAGCACTGAAGGAGCTTGATGTTGTAAATGTAGCGTCAGAGAAAGATATTTAGCCTGTTGCACCTATGCTGGCTCATTGAAAAAGTTATTCAGTCCACTTCCCTTGCTCTTTGTAACCCAGTATTTTTTTTCTTCTTTTTTAGGAATACATCAACTCCTCTGAGCATTACCATTGCATGTTTCCACCCCTTTTTAAGGCAGCACGTTCTGGATCACAATTCACTAGGTAAAAACAAAACATTTCATCTCATCTTTGACATTGGAAGGGACAAAATTACTTCAATAACAATTGATTGTCTAAGTTGCGCTGCCATTGTCTAAATTGTAAAAGTCATAATTACTACAACCAGAGGAACACATTACTAAAAGAGTGCTAAAAATATTTATTACTTCTTCAAATTTCCTGGTCCTGGCTAGGTCACAAACATGGCCAATGGTTTTTATTCTGTTGTAAAGTCCACACTCTATATTCAGATCCTGAAACAACAAAACATTTATACTCTCAGTGATGACATTCTACACAAAGCAGGCAAAACAGATTTCCAAACAGAAGGAGAATACATTTCTCATTAAGTGTTGAGCACTGTACCTTTAGAATTTCACCAGTTATTATGAATTCTGCTGGCTTACATTCCGTTTGCTTGGTGTTAATACGGGGTCCAATTCCCAGAAGGCTTTTGAATCGTTCACGGAGGGACGGATCTTTGCTTGTGGGTTTGGACATGATCATGGGGGCGTTCAACCTTCCCTAAACTGAAGTAAATAGTAATGATTAAACCAAGGAGCAGTTCTGCAGACCTGCAAATGAATCCGTACATCCATCAGCAAGAGTGTTACTGCATTCACAAAGCGAAGTTGGTCTATCTAGAAGCACTTGGATAGAACGTTGAACAGTTGTCCTTCAGCTCAGTCAAGAAATAAAAAGCTCCTATGAATGAACTGTGCAAAATCGATCCACAATGCAGGTCCCCCAGTGTGTGTCAAATCTGGTCTTGAATAGTAATACAAGTGCTATTACTGGCCTCTTAGGCCAGGGAGTGCATTTTGGCCAGAATTCCAAACCTGGTTACTCATGAGAGGCCATTCAGTCCCTCAAGCCTGCTCCGCCTTTTCAATTAGATCATGGCTGATTTGTATCATTTATCCATCTTGTACATGGATTGCATGAAGGTGGAATATGGCTTGGTTTGTAATAAAGTAAATGCTAATGGAACATTTTCTGTATATGTCCACAGATGAGCTGGTGCAAAGCAACAATTCTGGAGTCATATCTTGGCATGAGTTAAGGGAGCAAACTGTAGGAATATAAAACATTTGAGTATTGGTTGAGCCATAATTTAACACAGTTAAACAAGAATAACATCAAACTCCATATTCTTGCCACTCACTCCATCACCCTTCACTGACATCTCACACGGTGTTCAAATCTGTTTGCAACTATCAAACATGAAGCCGAGGTTACAAACCAACATCACCTTCGTGCAAAGGACTGTTTACTTCCATCTGTGACATAAACACAACATCAGCACATCTATTGCTCAAACTCTTGCCTCAGTCAGCTCAGTTTTCGCAGATTTAAATTGTGTCTCTTTGGCATGAAAATAAAGTCAAACACTCAACGTACTTATGACAAAGCAATATGGACAGAAACAAAATTCAAGTCAGACTTGTTTAGCCTCAAAGCTCCAGGACGCACATGCCAAAGACAGAAAATAGTCTATCATCAGCAACATAACGCAATATGTTATAGGGCAAAGAGAGAGAAATAATATCCTCTATTGGGGTATTCAAGAACAAGGGGACATAATCTTTAAATTAGCAATAGGCCATTCAAGAACAAAAATCAGAAAAAGACCTCTAGCAATGGAAATCTGAAATACCCTCAAAGATGGTAGATGCTGAGACAATTGAAGCTTGCGAGACTTGAGGGCAATGGATTCTTGTTAGGAAAGATATCAGGGAATACGGAACAGGGGTCTTGTGGTGTAGTGGTCTTGTTCTCACTTTTCGCTCCATAACATTATGTATAAATTGATTAAAAATAACATGGAAGATTGAGCAAAGTGGGTAAATGGCGTTAAGGTATAAATCAGAAATTAATGGGGAAAAGACAAAGTCTGAATGGCCACCTCTTGCTCAAATCAGCAGCGACAAGGTATCTGTCACTAAGTTGTTTTTTTTCTTTAGGTAACAAGGATGTTTAACATGGAGTACAGCCAATGAATTATCTGGTCAGTTTAACACAAAAATAACCATGTATTGCCCGGCTCTGAAGTTTCAGATAAGCCACAACATACTGTATATTGAAGAACTGCAACAGAAGATTCTGTCAACAAGCTCATTAATAGAACTGTCAACATAACGCTCTTGGACGCAAGCAACCCCAGGTTCAGTCAGACATGTCAGAAACATTCAGCACTTATGGCTCCCATTAGTCACTTGAGTCTGAGAGACTACAGCCACTGCTTCTACAAATGACCTTGGTCAGGCACACAGAGTAAGTAGTGATTCTGGCTGTGAACGTAAGCTCCCTCACTGCTACAGTCCAAAAATAAGCAACATTTATCTCCAGTAACATGCCAGTTGTTCTTCCAGTTTCTGGCTTTCCTTCGACAGCTCTGCTCCCAGAAAGTATACGAAATAGAGTGTTGGCACAAAATTTAATTTGCAAACATATTGCCAGAATGCTAAAGAAAACAGAAATCACACTGAAATATTGGCCAATATAATATGCAAAATATACTTGCTGCAGATTTCCCCATCTACTACCACGATTGGAAAATCATCAACCATTATCCCATATAACTCCCCCAGTTGGACAGCTGGATGCAATTTGCAGTCTAGACTTAGATGACACATTTGTACTTGCTGCAAGTAAATTGGGGAGGTAGTGGGATCGCGGTAATGTCTCTAGGTTAGTAATCCACAACCTCAGGTTAATGTACTGACAACATGAGGTCAAATCCCACCATGGCTGATGAATAAATCTGAATTCAACAAAGATCTAGAATATCAAAACAAAGGTAGACTAATGGTGACCGTGTAACCAGTACTGATTGTTGCAAAAACACATTTTGCACACCAACATCCTTTAGGAAAGGAAATTGGCCATCTTTACCTAGTCTGGTCTACGTGTGACTCTGGACCCATAGCAATGTGGTTGACTCTTAACTGCTCGCTGGGCAATTAAGGAAGAGCAGTAAATGCCAGTGGCGTGCAGATCTCACGAACGAATATAAAAAAAATTGCCATAATGCTTCAATCCAAAGTGCTTGCATCCAAAGTGCTTACGTGACATTGTACACAGACAAATCAAGTAGATCAAAAGGTAGAATAATTTTAGATGTAGGTTGCACTCGTAACTAATTCATGCACTAGTACCTGCAATCATAGAATCCCTACAGTGTGGAAACAGGCCCTTCGGCCCAACAAGTCCACACTGAACCTCAGAGCATCCCACCCAGACCCATCCCCCTATAACCCACATCTCCCTGAACACTATGGGCAATTTAGCATGGCCAATCCACCTAACCTGCACATCTCTGGACTGTGGGAGGAAACCGGAGCACCCGGAGGAAACCCATGCAGACACGGGGAAAATGTGCAAACTCCACACAGACAGTCGCCCGAGGCTGGAACCAAACCCGGGTCCCTGGTGCTGTGAGGCAGCAGTGCTAACAGTTCAACAGAGGCACCAGTTCAACTGTACACCAAAGACAACTCTACTCAAGTTCAAAAGGCAAGTTTCCATCAGTTGGACTTATTCAATTGGGATGAAGTGAGATTTCAATATCACATCCAGATTTTGAGAAACACATGGACTCAATCAACAAACTAGCAACCACGTCAAGGCTCTGCCAAGTCCTCCTACAAAAGTATTGATTTAAGCCAGCAGCAGTCAACTGAAGTAGCTGTTGAAGATACCAGTTAGGGTTGCTCTCCCTTAAACCCATTCTCAGAACCTCAGTGACAATCAACACAAACATTATAGCAACTAGACCAGAATAACTGCAACATCAACTTCCACAGTATAACAGCAGACTTAAAAACAAGAACAGAAGACAATATGTTGTATTGATTCGAAAGCTTTTAAATGTAAATGAAATATCCAAGGCACTTCAGGGATGCAAAAACACCAGATCTCAATGCAAAAGGAGATCATGAAATAATAGCTAGAAAGCATACATATTAACAGCAGCAATCTGTTCATGTGAAAAGTACTGTTTCACGAACACATCGGGACACTGCACAGCAGGAAAAATTTCAGTAAAGCCAAAACTCACTGAATGCAATGTGAAAACTTGTTACTTGTGAGTCAAAGTCTAAATCTGTCACATTTTCCAATAACAAACTGATATCCAGCATATAAAAGATACTCACCTTAGTACCAAATAAAAGTTCAATTCAAGATCTAAAAAGTAAGTGCTACCACATCTGTTTTCCTACCTGTCAAACATACAAACTAACAACCGTCTGATGTGCAGTAAAAGGAGCAAGGACTATAGCAGAACAATGATTATTTGTAAACTATATCAACCAACACAATGGGCCGGGTTTTCTGTGAAGGGGCAATCTCTCAGATTAGTGCCAGCTGGGGAGGGGGTATGGATCCAGAGTAGGATGACAAATGTGAAGGAGATAAGCTGCTAGGTGGCAAGGTAACAATACAGCCTGCAGGGTTAGTCAGGGTCAGTGAAGAATGAGTTGGGCAGGTATCAGGGAGTGTAGCGTTGTTTCTACATGGTTTGAGTCTAGTGGAGGGTGGGGGCAGAGAGCAGCGGTTATTGGGTCCTGGCAGCATGGGAGTAGGTTGGGTCAGCTCCATTGGGGTTGGGATCAATTCGATTTCCACAGCTCATGGAGAGGGTTGTCATGTATGGAGTGGGAAGCATCAGGTTAACGTCTGGAGCGGGGTATAGATCTAAGTGTGAGATGTATGTATGGAGTCTGTTAAATACTCAGGAATTACACCATGCATTTAACGGTTCAATTTTTCATCAGCATATTACTTAATTTCATGAGAACCCTGCAAACGTCTCCATTTAAATTGGAGACTTTGGAGCTTCCAAGTAGAAGTATTGCCCAGAGGAAAGTTCAATTTCTTGAGCAACTCCTTCCAGCTTTAAGCACCTCTGCCCCAGCATGAACTTCCCCAAAGGTTCATACACATCTCTCGCCTCAACTCACATACATCCTCCCTTCCTCTTGCATGGATTCACACGTTGCGGTGCGCTCCCCTCCCCTCCCCTCCCAATCTCCATGGTTTCACAAGCCCTCACCCCTTCCCCACTCCGTGTTTTTTGCATGACCACTCCCGTTCCCTTCCATCCTGAGATTCTGACTTCCCTCCCCTCCACGGGGTCTCCCTCCCCCCTCATCTATGGGGGATTCTCCTCTCCATCCCTCCCCTCTCCCATGGGGGCCCTCCCTTCACCCTCCTCTCAAGGGTGCCGCTGACCTCCTCCTCCTCCTCTCCTCGGATTATACCTTCCTCCCCAGGGCTTCACGCCCCCTCCCTTATCTTCCACTGCCCCTCCCCCACAGCGGTCAGGAGCTGTTTGCTGCAGCGGCCTCCCCATTTTGGCAGGTCCAGGCTCGGCCTCACTGCCCGAATGCAATCCCTCTCCCCTTGACCCTCAGCACCGGTTGCCACTCACTCTGCCGCCTAATCCGTGCTCGGCCGCCTCAATCACCCATTCCCACCAACTCCTAGCTCCCGCAGCAGGCCCAGCCTTCCAGGAACTGACGTCACACGTATATGTACATCCGTCTTTGGCGTGCGTCTCATCGCGGTGCCTGCCGGGGATTGTAGGCCCGTTGTAGTTTTGGCTCAGACGTTATTGCCATTCGTTCCTGGACCGTTAATGTTCCCCATAAGACCAGCATTTATTGCTCCCAGTCCTCCGACTATCCTTAATAAGTTCTGAGCCTTCATAAATGGCAATGAATTGTTCCGGGGCGGCACGGTGGCTCAATAATAGTAGGAACTGCAGATGCTGGAGAATCTGAGATAACAAGGTGTAGAGCTGGATGAACACAGCAATAGACCCGAAACGTCAAGGTTCATCCAGCTCTACACCTTGTTATCATGGTGGCTCAATGGTTAGCATTGCTGCCTGACAGAGGGGGTTCGATTCGTCCCCTGGATCGACTGTCTATGTGGAGTTTGCACATTCTCGCCCTTCCGGCGTGAATTTCCTCCAGGTGCTCCGGTTTCCTCCCACAGTCCAGAAACGTGCAGGTTAGGTAGATTGGCCATTCTAAATTGCCCATAGTGTCCAGGGATGCGCAGGCTAGGTGGATTAGCCATATGAAATGCAGGGTTGCAGGGATAGGGGTTTAGGTCTGAGTGGGATGCTCCTCGGAGGGTAGAGTCGATGGGCCAAATGGCCTGCTTCCCCACTGTCGGGATTGTATGGAACTGAACAAGAATGCAAAAACATGGACAAGTTCATGCATAGAAGTAGAAAATTAAAGTAGTCCATAAAACTAAAATCAAACTGAAATATTAGCTCTAGCTGAGTAGAAGATTGATTTATAAGCAGTGATATCAGTCCTTTCGATTGAGTACATGTAAAATTGAATGAAGGATTAATCCTTGTAAGAGCATATGTTGTTTGCTGATTAATAAAAGAACATCATTTTTCAAAATTAAAATGTAGCAACAAGCATGAGCAGTATGTACAAATCAGCCATGATATGATGAATCATTGATTAGTAAGGAACATTTAGGTTGAGGTTTCATTGAAGCTAAAGTATTGAAAGTATTTTCAAGGAACAGTACATGGCACATGTTCTGAAATGCAAACTGTTCCAATTGATCAGCCTTCCCGGCTTTCAATGTAAGTCACTCATGGCTATCAGGAAGCGACCTTCATTGTATAAACTACTCCAGTGAGATAAGAAGATGTCCTTTCAAATATAAAGACATCTCTGCTGGGGGGAAGTGTGAAGAATAACATTTCTATGATCCGCAAAACCAAACGATTGCACTACATGAATGTGAAATTTGTGTAGCCTCCTGAACTATGAGCGTACATAAAGAAATTGTGTTCTGCTATGTTACAAAAATGGTCAGACTTCAAAAGAATTTTGTTGGTATTAAAATGCATTGGATTGTCATTGAAGTGAAATAGAAATGTTGATTCTTACTTCACATGATGTTCGGTGCATTTAAATTAGTAGATGGAAGATGATGTGGACTGTATGTTCCATTGCCAGATGTGTGCTGGCAATATTCAGACAGTACATCAGAAAACTGACCCTGGGGAGGTGTTTTTTTTTTGTGCAATAATAGACCAAATAGATCATGAGAACAATGTGAATGTTAAATCAGTACAAAAAGGGCCACTCAACTCTTCAAACTCAGTTCTTCAAGATTACACAGAAAGTGTCATCATTTCTTTTTCTACCTCACCCCAGCTACTGCTGAAATCATCATCTCTGACTTCCTTACCTCTAAATCTGGCTTCTTCACTGCCCTCATAAGTTGTACTTTTGAACTCCACTATGACTTCCATAGGAAACATAAGCAAAAGTATCCCTTTCATTCCTTCAAATCCGCTCCACAATTTAATAAAATTATCACTAAGGGTTCCTGTTCCACACAGTCTGCTTCCTTCACTTTGTTTCATTTTAAGGTCCACTTATTTATCATCCATTCTACTCATCGACTTCCACTGGTTCACCATTTGAATTTCAAAGTCTTTAGGCTGATCCACAACTTCCATGAACTCATTGTACCCTAACTCTGCAACATCTTCTGATCTTATGTGCCCACTTGTACCATCTGGTCTACAACACTAGCTTCTTCTTCATTGTCCACTCCCTTGATTCTATCACTGATAATAAGACCTTTATCAGTTTGGTGGATACACTGATGGAATCTCTCCACAAAAACTTTCCTTGCTACTTTTCTTCCCACCTAGAAGAATCCTTAATACCTACTCAATCAAACATGTCTCCCTAACTCCGTTTTACTCCAATGCCCAGATGTACAGCTTAGATCATGGGGAATTTTGTAACTTTAATATTATCAGCTGTAATCACTATGCTCTGTGTTAGGAGCTTGTGAGTTTAAATCCCACTTCAGTACCTTGAGCACAAAATCCACAGTGACAATTCTGTACTGTGGAGTTGGAGGCACAAACAGAGGTAACATCTTGCCTGCATTTACCCTGTCAAGTATTTTGTAGGTTTCAATAAAAATCAACTCTCAGTCTTTAAGATACTGGAGAATACTGGCCCAGTTTTCCAAATCTTTCTTCATAGGACTGTCCCACCATCCCAGGAAGCAGTTGGTGAACCTTTGTTGCACTCCCTCCATATAACCTTCCTTTGCACACAGTATTCCAGGTGTAGTCTAACCAAAATTCCATATAATTAAAGCAAAAATTCATTAATCCTGTACTCAAATCCTCTTGTGAGAAAGGCTAACATGCCCTTAGCCTTCCTAATTGCCTGCATGTTAGTCTTCAGGTACCTTTCTGTACTTTCAGTTTGCCATGTTTATAAAATCATGAGGGGCATGGACAGAGTGAACAGCCAACGTCTTTTTCCTAGGGTAGGTCAGTCCAAAACTAGAGGACTTAGGTTTAAGGTGAGAGGGGAAAGGCTTAAAAAGGGCCTAAGGGGCAACTTTTTCATGCAAAGTGTGGCGTGTGTATGGAATGAGCTGTCAGAGGAAGTGGTGGATTTGGGTACAATTACAACATTTAAAATGCATCTGGATGTGTATATGCATAGGAAGGATTTAGAGGGATATGCTGGCAAATGGGACTAGGTCAGATTGGGATGTCTGGTCAACATGGACAAGTTGGAGCAAGCATCTGTTTCAGTGATGAATAACTCTGACTCTATGTTCTTCACTAGTCACTGAGCTTCTTCAACTCCTCACGCAGCACACCTCACTACCTATGCCATTCAGGTATTTTCCTAATCAGCCCGTTCAGAGAAGTTATAACACACCTCTGGAGCAGGTGGGACTTAAACCCAGGCCTACTGGTTCAGAGGTAGGGACACAACCACTATGCTACAAGAGTCCTTGTCCCCTCACATGTATTTTTAATTTGTTTTCATTTAACCTATTCTTTGATCAACCGGTTCAGAGATGTTATGACACATCCCTGGAGCAGGTGGGACTTGAACCCGGGCCTCCTGGTCCAGGGGATACAGACACTACCAATGCACCACAACAGGGCCCCTAGTCCCCACATACAATTCATTGTTATATACGGTGAGCACTTTGGGGCTCCAGAACTGTTACTTGCAACACCCTACGAGTTGCAGTCTGCCAAGCAGAGAATGACCTGTTTACTCCTACTATCTGTTTTCTGTCTATAGTCAATCATTAATCCATGCTGGTACATTACCTCTTGTCCACTGTCTTTTAACTTTGCTAAGCAACTTCCTCTGGGGGCCTTTATCAAAAGACTTCTGATAATCCAAGTTTATTATATGCAGCAACAGCGTACTTTTTGTTTTCAGAAACCTCAAAAAAAATCCATGCTAACTTTACCCGATCAGATCATTATTATCCAAAATATACATTTATCACATCCTCTACAACAGATTGTAACAAATCTTCCATTACTGATGTCAGGCGTCCTGAAAGGCATCAGCGTCAATGCCATTCTATGCACTATACAGAGGTCTAATTATCCTGAAGCATTGTCAAGGATGGCACAGCAGCAAGAGCGAAGAGTAAACAGCATGTTGGGCCCAGAGTATCAGGGATAGTATTCCGGTGGAAATCAGGGAAGATTGGGGGCGGGGAAAGGACCATTCAGACCTTAGAAGCTCATTCCCAACCTTGACTGAGAAGTAGTGAACAGGACATGGGGTTAAAGCTGGTCAGACAGCGTTAAGGGGAAGCCCCGCCCCTCAATCGAATGTTGTGACATTTCCCGGATTGATACATTTTAGTAGCGCGAGATTTAAAGGGACCGTGACCCTCCGCTCTCATCTCACAAAATGCGTGTGGGCATTATGGCGTCCCCCTCGCCTTATTTTACACCGGGCGTACTGACTCGGAACATGCGCCGACGGGTGTCCGTGCCCCGGGAGCTGGAGCGGGATCCTCAACCCGGCTCCAACTTAGCAAAGAGCCCTGCCGTTGGTAGGTTGGCGGCAGGGGAAGGGAAACCTGCCCGCAGGCATGCAGCAGGCCAACCCGGCCTCCAGATTCAGGCGGACACGATCCAGCCTGGAAATGCGCGGAGGCAGAAAAGCGAGCCCTTGCAGACTGCTGGCATTTCGGGCCGAATGCTCGGCCGGCCGCAGTCTGCTTCCTCAGTAGAGGACACACCCTCTAAATGGGAGCCGAAGGACTGGAGGGAGCAGTTGGCTAACATTAGGGAAATGAGGAAGTGCAGGGATGCGCCCGTGGACCACATGGGCGCCGAACAATGCTTCGACAAAACGGCAGCCCCCAAGGTAATTCAATAGAACCCAGATCCTGTGGCTAAACTGAAACGTGCACTTCTTTAGCGACTTTTCTGACTGCTAAGACGCTGCACGGTGCTTCAGAGTTAAATATGTGTGGTATCTGGCGATGGTAACCAGTTTGTACGTAAGAAGCTTTCTCAAACAGCAATGAAATAAATGATCATTTGTTGGTTGAAGTATACAGATTGACAAAGAAACTATACCCTATTCTGTGATCTTATAATAGTGTTGCCATAATCAACAGGGTTTTTCTCTCTCACTTAGAGAGACATTAGAGTGATGAATTTAACTTGAGGTTCACCACACCGCAAGTGAGGAGCAGGAAAGCAGGACCTCCATTAGTGAGCATGGGAACTAAACCCGTGCATCACTCTGCATCACTAACCAACCATCTAGCCAGTTGAGCTAACTGACTCACCTGAGAAAAAGCCAACAGAGCCTGGAACACAACAACCTCCTGATGCGGAGATGAGAGTGCTTCAAAACTGACATCACTTGTCTGTGTTCTTTGCACACTTGCCATTTGGATTAAGATAAGGATGGCAGCTGTTGAAAGGAAAGGAGAGCAGGAAAAAATGTGCCACAAGTCTCCTTCATTCTTGATACTTAAAGGCATGCTTGAAGTTAAGATAGCAGTAGAAATAGGAATGGATCTGCCTTGGCTGAATATTGCCACTGACTATTTTGCTGTGTCTTTGTGGAATTCTGTAGGTCATGAGGTATCAGGTGCTTTTGTCACTCATGCTGTCCAGCCAAACCAAGGATCAGGTGACATTTGCAGCAATGAAGCAGCTGAGGGAACATGGCTTGACTGTTGAGAACATCCTCAAGATGGATGATAAGACGCTTGGAGAGCTCATCTATCCAGTTGGCTTCTGGAGGGTTAGTGGACAATTACTGAATAGCTACCTTACATCTGAGCATCTTCCCCCATATGCACTGCCTAAAGCTCATTTCTCTTTCATTGATAATGGAATTCAGCTACTTGGGCCCTCAGTTCTGCAGTTCCCTTCCTTAAGCTCTCTGACTTTCTGCTTCTTTACATGGGTACATCAAACTTACCGCTTTGTCCAAAGTTTTGGTCATATGCCCTAAAGCTTGTAGTTATTGAAATTTGTTCTCTACTATGAAACAGCTCAGGAAGTTTTATACATGAAAGGGAAGATCATAAATCTTGTTTGAGTTTGAGTTTTGATCATTTTAGTGTTAGTGTTCTGTTGGGCGTTATGGTTTCCTATCGACATATTTGATATAAAGGATATAGTTTGCATGTGATATCGTGAGGCAAATTTTCAGTTATTAAATTTTAATATTTTAATTCCTGTTGCCACTATAATACTGACATTTATTCTGTACAGTGTGTTTGGATCCCAAACCACCTAAGAAGTGTTCAGTTATTCTGTTTGTCAATCATTGCCCTACATGCAGGTCTCAGTTTTCAGTGGGCCAGTTGGCTTTCTTATATCAAAGACATTTTTAATGCAGTGTTCAACTTTATGCAAGGCCCCTGTTGCACTACTGAATGTGAATCTGAGTTACTACCTTTTATGGCCGCACAGCTGCTATCAAAAATTGATTTGTGGGAGTGGGGAAGGTGTTAAGAGGGAGTGAAAGTGTGGCCTTTGGGCAATTTCAGTTGAGATATAGATCAGTTATGAAATAATAGTGAAACGGAGGGGCTCAAATACTCAACAGCAGCTTTCATTTTTATTATAGTAACAAGGTTGGGTTCAATTTGGCCAAAGACCCTGCAGTGACGTATTGCACTGAATAGCCTCCTTCAATGGCATATCACTGTGTGATTATAAGATGGTTTACAGGCAAGATTTCCAAGAAGAATGTGACACTAAGCCACACAATGTGTTAGGAGAGGTGACTGAAAGCTGCTGTTTTTCAGCAGCACATTCAGCATGTGCCAGTTATAAATATCTGCCCAGGTTCTACAATTTCACAGCCTAGACAGGGAAAATGCTGCGGTTATACAAAGCCCTGGTTAGACCCCACTTGGAGTACTGTGAGCAGATTTAGGTACCACACCTTAAGAAGGATATATTGGCCTTGGAGAGAAGACAACATAAGTTTACAAGAATGAGACCTGGACTTCAGGGGTTAAATTATGAAAAAAGATTGTACAAATTAGACTTGTTTTCTTGAGAATTTAGAAGGTTGAGGGATGATCTGATTGAAGTCTTCAAGATATTGATAGGTAAAGACAGGATACATAAACAATTTCCACTGGTTGGGGATTTTAGACTTGGTGGCATAGTCTGAGAATTAGGGCCAGACCATTCAAGAGAGATGTTAGGAAGCACTTCTACACACAAAGGGTGGTGGATGTTTGGAACTCTCTTCCATAAACAATAGTGAATGCTAAATCAGTTGTTAATTTTAAATCTGAGATAGATAATTTTTTGTTAAGCAAAGGTGTTAAGGGATATGGGCCAAAAGCAGGTATATGGAGTTAGACCACAGATCAGCCATGATCTCATTGAATTGTGGAGCAGGCTTTAGGCTTGAATGACACACTCCTGTTCCTATGTTCCGAACAATTCTGAGAATGATGGTAATTTCAGTAACCTGGCAGTATCAATAAGAAACCCAGTCATTTGTCAAGCCGAGCCCTTCTCTTCCACTCCCTTCCTTTCTAACATGCCGCACCTCCTTTTTTTTTTTTGGTATTGTTTTGAAATTCATTTACTGCTTGCAAGACTAGCATTTATTGTCTTTGTGCCAACTGCCTTGTTAAGTCATGTCAAAGGGCAGTTAGCACTCTTCTTAGTTCCTAATCTCACTGCAGCCCAATGAAGCTGAATTCCAGAGTTGAGTTGACTATCCTGGATATCAGGATAGCATTTGACAGTGTGTGGCTCAAGGAGCCCTAAAAATGTTGGGAATGAGGGGCAAGACTTTTACCTGTTGAAGTTAATCATAGCACAAAAGATTATTGTAGTTGATGGAGATCAATCATCCTAGTCTGAGGACATTACTGCATGAGTTCCTCCCAAGTATTGTCTTAGGTCCAACCATCTTCACCTGCTTCATCAATGATCTTCCCTCCATCATGAGGTCAGAAATGGAGAGATTAGTTGATGACTGCATAGTGTTCAATGCCATTCAAGACTCCATTCCCACATATACCAAGACATGGACAACATTCAGGTCTGAGCTGTTAAGTGGCAAATAACATTCACACTAGTGCCAGACAATGACTATCTCCAACTAGAGGGAATCTAACTCTCTCCACTTGACACTCTCAATCATTACCTTTGCTGAAACCCCACAATCACATTTTGGAAGTTATCATCGTCCAGAAATTTAGTCCAGCTATATGTATTCTGTGTGGCTCTAACAACACTTGAGGAGCTCAAAATATTCCAAGACATAGCAGTCCACCTGATAGGCATTACCAGCTCAATCATTTAATCCCTCTTCCACTGACACACAATGGCAGCTATGTGTATCATCAGAGTTGTACTGTGGCAGTTTGTCAAGTGTCTTTCAACAGCAGCTTCCAAACCTGCGACCATCACCACCTAGAAGAACAAGGGCAGCAGACACTGAAACAATTCCCCTCTAACCAAGCCACCATCCTGACTTGGAACAATATTGCCATACCTTCACTGCCTCTGAATCAAAATCATGGATTTCCTTTAGTAACAACACTGTGGGACTACCTACTTCAGGGGGACTGCAGCAGTTCAAAAAAGTGGCTCAGTACCTTCTTAAGGGCAATTAGGAATCAACGACAAATGCATTCACTGAGTAAGGATGCCAGATTTTCTTCCCTTAAGGACTCAGTGAGTTGTTTTATATTTTACAATAATCCAATTACAATAATTACCATGACTGATTTATGTAAATAACTGAAATTAAATCATTTAGCTGATAAGGGGGTGGGGGTGGATATGAACACCAATTTCTGGATCATTATAGGCCAGGCCCCTGTGCAGTGACATAACGACGAGATTACAGCTCCTGCAACTGAGAGACAGAATTGATAGATTGTTGTTGCCTTTACATCCAATTCATTATGTGATTTACCCATGCAGAATAAAGTGAAATACATCAAACAGACCACAGCAATCCTGAAGGAGCAGTACAATGGTGACATTCCCAGCAGTGTTAGCGAGCTTGTGAAACTTCCAGGAGTAGGACCAAAGATGGCTCATCTCACCATGAAGATAGCCTGGAACAACGTGTCTGGCATCAGTGAGTACCAGGGGCACCAGTAACAGAATGAAATCGAGGAGTCAACTCGGGGAGATCAGCTACCTACCATTTTATGGGCATTACAGCAGTGGCAAAGTCTGATAGCGGTAGCATTGTAGGAAAATACAGAGACTTCCCATTCCAAGAGAATCATTCTGGCAATAATGTGTGTACCGTCCATGCCACTGGATGGTGCTGCAGTGCAGAATGAACTCTTGTGTTCAAGTATTGATCTGATGGACTCCTGGTACAAACTACCTACCTGCAGTAATGGGTGAAGTAGTCAGGGAGCTCCTTTTCAAGGAGCTTGAAGAGGCAAATTTGAAGCAAAAGCTTTGTGCCTTCTCATGCTCTTTGAAATCTAGCAGTTCTCTTCATGAGAAGTATCTGAAATATACATAATGAATCAAACTGCTTACACAGCAGAGGTCCAAGTTGATACTTTTCTGGATGCTAGGTGGAAGAGAGGCAATTCATTAGAAGTTCTATGCCAATGCTTAAAACATCCACTGGTGTGAACTCAGATCAGGAAGTGGACCCCTTTAGTAGTTGAAATTCAATACGTCAAATTATTTTTTAAAAACTCTGATGGCTCTTGAATGTTAAAACAGTTACTGGGCAAACTGGGGGACTAGCCAGTATAATCAATGACTTGAGCATGCTTCCAACGCAGAACTGAAGAAATGCTGGAAAGGTGTCTTGAGGCTGTGAAAGGTGCTATATAATGCATTTGTTTTCTTTGCATGTCTTTGAGCAGTTGGCTTTGTATTTCATGTCAAAAGATGACCTCAGAGCACGTGGGCTTATTTTCTGTCCGATTGATCTCCCAGACTTGTACAGTGCAGTACGAAGATCTGACCTTGAGGACTGAAAGTTTATGACAATCCGTATAACTTTGATCTGTGGCAATGAAAACAAAAAGGCTTGGGTTTGTATGGCAACTTTCACAAACACAGGAGATCCTAAATCCTAAATCCTGATTACAGTTAGTTCAGCACTTCTTTCAAAGTGTAGCCACTGTTGTAAAGTAGGAAACCCAACAACAAATTTGCACAGAACAAACTGCCACAAATAACAGTGTGATAGCCAACAGGTTACCTGTTGTAGCGTAGTGAAGTTAACTGAAGTTGGCCAGGACTTGGGGAAAGCTTCCTGGTCCTTTAGAATAATCTTTTTACATGCACCTGAGAGGCCAACCAGGACTTTGGTGTAACATTTCATTCAAAAGCACCTTGGACAGTGCAACACATCTTTAATGCTGCATTAATTCTGTCAGCCTAGATTTTGTGTGTCTGGAGTGGCTATTTGAATGCACTACCTTCTGATTAAGAAGTGAGAGCACTACACACTAAAAGTTTTTTTTTCCATTTTCAGTGGTTTTATTCCCAGTGCCTGCCCTTCCAATTATTTCACTGCTCAGTTTGTTAGCTGTTCGACATTAAAACGTGCATGAAGAGTTCTCTGTCTTCTATGTGAGATTGACTGCTAGAATTCTTGAGGAAGGCGCTGAGAGACTGTGTGTTTCTGCTGGTTGTCAAATCTAAAACGCGGGTGCACAGTCCCAAAATAAGAGGACAACCGTTTAGGACTGAGCTGAAGGGAAATTACTCAACCTGTGAAATTTTTTACTCTCCGTAAAGGTTATGGAGGTTTAATTGTTGGATATATTTAAGAGTGGGATGGAGTGGTATTTGGACTCTGAGGAAGTCAAGTGATATGGGGAACAGACAGGAATATTGGGGGGAGGTTCACGATGATCATGTTGAATTCCGACCTGCTCAAACACACATATAAAATTCCACCATCGAGCACTGTGCAGCAAAACTATGACTGATGGAAAAAGGAGAAATAGTGAACTTGAATTAATATAGCACCTTCTGTGACCTCTGTTCATTCAAAAGTACCTCATAGCCAATGAATTACTTTTGAAGAGCTAGTCACATTTGCAGCAACAATCACGACAGACTGTTCCAATTGTACCATTCCAAGAATTCTCCCCGCTGCAGATAAAGAGAGGACAGTGCATATCTGCACTAAAGAGACAGAACTGGCTCTGAACAAACTGTTTTGCCAGCAGAAAATAAGCAGTTGTTGACAGAACAAATCATAGTCCTCCCTGGAAACGTTCCAGATCACATAGGCCACTGGAAAGTAAACTTGCTTTTCTGTTTAGTAGGACTGTATAACTAGCTAGATTAGATTTCTTCCCCTGTCTCTCTTTCTCCTCTTTCTCTCTCCCTCGTTGGTTTTGTCCAGAGATTGGAAGATGATGAGAGCTTTTGTAATACCACAGAAGATCAACTTACATATAGACAGTGTTCTTAAAATAATTGAATATCCCAGTGTTTTGTGTAATAGAAAGCAGAATTTGGCAGCAAGCTACTCAAGGAAGTATTAAGGCACTTTGACCAAAAGCTTGGTTTGAAGAGGTTGATTGTAAGGGACATGTTAATGGAAGAGAGAGACGTGGTTTGGTTTAAGGGTCAAACAAACTGAATGTACAACTGTCAACATCGCAGCCATTAAAATCAGAATGATCAACAGTCCAGAATTGGAGTGAAGATGTTTTGGAGGGCGGTAGCGCTGGAGGAGATTATAGTGATAGGAAGGGGAAAGCAATGGAAGGTTTTGGAGACAAACGTGAGAATTCTAAAATTGATGCTTTAAGGTTATAAGCTCATCGTGTCATTGCAAGGCAGGTTCTGCACTGTGTTGCCTTCATGAGACAGATCCCCAAAATGATAAAGATGAATGCAACATGAGAGGAGCGTTCAATGAAGGCCAGCTATTTTAAAATACAAATGGGAGGCTCAGCTAGCCCAATGATCCACTCCAGTTCCCATTTCCTATGTTCTTATGAGATTCTTTTACCCTCCTATAAACAGCTTATCTGCTTAGATCCAGAGCCCCAAAATGAAGTTGGTTAGAGACAAAAAAAACTGCAGAATCCGAGGTAGACAAACAGGAGGCTGGAAGAACACACAAGCCAGGCAGCATCTGGAGGAAAGAAGTCAACATTTAAGATATTACCCTTCTTTAGGACTGGATGTTGGGGTACAAAGAGCTGCAGATAAAGAGGAAGGGAATAGCGAAATGGTGGTGATAGGTGGTGGGCACTGGTAGTAGCTACGACCTGGTTAGTCGATGGGAGGGATGAATCTGGTTTGTGAGTGGAAGGGAGGTTCAGAAGGTGGAACGGGAGAGAGGTGGTGGTGCTGGAAAGGGAGCCGGGGGATGGCTATTTGAAATTGGGGGACTCAGTGTTGAGTCCTCCGGGCTGTAGGGTGCCCAGGCGGAAGATAAGGTGTTGTTCTTCAAATTTGCGTTCTGAATCACTGTGACACTGGAGGACGCCAAGGACAGACATGTCGGGGGTGGGGTGGGGTTGCACCAGGGTGGTGGGGAAGTTGAAATGGGCAGTTACCAGGAGGTTAGGCCGGCTGTTATGGGCCAGGCGAAGATGCTTGGCAGAACAGTCACCAAGTTTATGTTTGGTCTCACTGAAGTAGAGAAGACAACGTCAGGAGCACCAGATGCACTAGACTAGGTTGGAGAAGATGCCTGTGAAACTCCGTCTCACTTGGAAGGACTGTTTAAGGCCTGGATGGAGGTGAGAGAGGTGCTTTGTGGGCAGGTGTTGCATCTTCTGCAGTTACAGGGGAAGGTAACTATCGAGTTGGAGTGGTTGGTGGGGAGGGAATGGTCTTTGCAGAAGGCAGAGAGGGCTGGGGAGTGGAACATATTCCAGTTGGTGGGATCTAACTGGAATTGGCAGAAGTGTTTGAGGATGATGTGTTGGATGCAGAGGTTGGTGGGTTGGAAAGTGAGGACAAGGGGGACCCTATCTTTGCATTTGGTGAGGGGGAGGTTGTTTAGAGCTGTGGAGCAGGGAATGGAGGAAGAATGGTGGAGGGCTGTCGAGATGACAGAGGGGGAAGAAAGAGCGTTGTTTGAAAAAGGCCAACATCCGGGATGCTTGAGAATGGAATGTCTCCTCATCAGAGCAGATGCGACAAAGATGGAGGATTTGGGAAAACGGGTTGGAGTTTTTGTAGGATACAGGGTGGGAGGAGGTATAGTCTAGGTAGCTATGGGAGTCTGTGGGTTTATAGTAAATGTCAGTCCGTATACTGTCGCCAGAAATGGAAACAGAGAGGTCAAGAACGGGGAGGGAGGTGTCTGAGATAGACCAAGTGAACTTGAGGGCGGGGTGGAAGTTGTTAGCGAAGTCGACGAACTGCTCCAGTTCAGCCTGGGTGCAGGATGCAGCACTGATGCAGTCATTGATATAAGGGCGGAAGAGTTGGGGAACAGTACCGGTGTATGTACTGAAGAGGGCCAGTTCGACACAACCTACAAACAGGCAGGCGTAGCTGGGGCCCATGCGAGTGCTCATAGCAAACCCCTGGATTTGGAGAAAGTGGGAAGAATTGAAGGAAAAGTTATTGAGGGTGAGGACTAGTTCGATGAGGCAGAGGAGGTATTGGTTGGGGGTACTGAATGGGTCTGTTGGAGAGGAAAAAACTGAGTCCATGTAGACCATCCTTGTGGGGTATGGACATGTATGAATGAACAGATGTAAAGATGAAGTGCTGGGGACCAGGGAACTGGAAGTTTCCAGAGGTGGATGGCATGGTTTGTGTCCCGGATATAAGTGGGGAGTGCCTGGACCAAGGTGGAGAGAATGGAGTCAAAGTAGGAAGAGATGAGTTCAGTGGGGCAGGAGCATGTGGAAACGATGTTTTGGCTAGGGTGGTTGGGCTTCTGGATCTTGGGGAGCAGGTAGAAACAGGAAGTGCGGGGCTGGGGGACTATAAGGCTGGAGGCAGTAGAGGGGAGGTCACCGGAAGTGATGAGGTCACGGACAGTGTGGGAGATGGTGGCTTGATGGGCCATAGTGGGGTCATGGTCAAGGGGGAGGTAGGGCATGGTGTCGGAGAGTTGGTGTTCGGCCTCTGTGACATTGAGGTCCATCCTCCAAACTTACCACTGCCCTGCCTTTGTCAGCTCTCTTCCAGCCCCACCTCCTCCCTTCCATTATACTTTCTGAACCTCCCTTCCAGCCACCAACCGGGTTCATCCCTCCCATTGACCAGCCAGGTCATACCTACTACCAATGTCCAGCATTCCACTACGCCCCCTTTATCTGCAGCTTCCCTTACCCCCATATCTAGTCCTGAAGAAGGGTATTACCCAAAATGTTGACTGCTCCTTTCCTCCAGCTGCTGCCTGGCTTGCTGTGTTCTACCAGCCTCCTGTTTGTCTCCCAAAATGAAAGTGTTTAACATGCTGGTCTTCAATTTTGTTCCACTTCCAGTGAACAGTCAGACAAATTTAATTAATCTGTGAGTCAATATCATCAGTAATATCAATACAGTTTGGACAGAATTGGCAGATAAAGTTGATGGGGATTTTAAGTGTATGTGAGCTTGACCCAAAATCACTTGCATTTGAGTTTCCACTGGTTCAAAGTTCAATTTTCCTTGGTTCAAGGTTCAAGTTTTGTCCCAGTCAAAACTGGCCTTGTTCCCAGGTGACCGTTGCATGTTTCCACCAATTGTGCTAATTAAGGAAGGCTCTTTAAATTGCATTCATTTTCTTAGGCACATTAATACACAATTTCTAAAAGAATTTTCATTTCAAAAAGTAATTTACTAAGAAACAACTGCACGCCAGTGAAGGTTGTAAATGGCTCAGTATACTTTCTAAAATTCATTTTCACTGATTTTTAATTGGGTCATTCACAAATGGAGGACTAGATACTCTAATTAAAAATGCTTTCTTTGGTGATAAACCCATTTTTAGCTGTATTACTAAGACAACCCCTGGCTCCTAGTCTTAAATATACGGAAAAAGAAACAAATAAGCAGTTATGTTCTGGTATGCTGGCCATTGCATTGATTCATGGCAGACTCTGCATTTGTGACAATAGACTTAAATTTTACTTGGACTGCAACTTCACTTTTTGGGTGCAATTTCCCAACAGTGTATTAGTTTTAAATTCCCTCCTTTAATATTCCAATCAAATTTCTCTTGTTCTAACCAAAGTTGCTCTATTGGATGGTAGATTTATGCAGCTTATGTACATTCCTGTCCAGAAGATACCGTTGCATTTATGAGCGTGGTGAGCACTAGTAAATCCTAGAGGATATATAATACAATCCAATATTTGCAACATGGTGTTGTTGACTTGGTTTGATAAACCCATTTCACAAGTACTTAAATTCACCTCAGCACCCAACTAATTTATTTTGCCTGTTTTAATTTTTATTTCCAGGTGTTGACACCCATGTGCATAGAATCGCAAATCGACTAAAGTGGGTCAAAAAAGAGACCAAAAACCCAGAAGAGAGCAGATTGGCGCTGGAAGAGTGGATGCCACGGTAACTCAGGCTGGGGGGAGACCTCTACATGTAACCAAGTGATGGTGCTTGTAGTGCAGACAAAGAACCAATAATTGAAGATGTCTTGACATCTTGCAGGGAGTGAAGCTGACTTAGTATCACAATTAGTAGATGTTCCTAAGTAGGTTATCCCATGAAGGGAATAACATTTGGTTAGGAGTGGGAAAGGGAGAGGATTCACTGGAATTTAGAAGAGGTGATCTAATTGAAATATCTAAAATAAAGAAAGAGCCCAACAGGGTAGACGGTAGGAAAAATGGGGGATCTAGAATATGGGATCACAGTCTCAGAATAAGGCTGCGTCAACTATCTTGGACTGAGGTCTGGGACGGCATGGTGGCTCAGTGGTTAACACTGCTGCCTCACAGCGCCAGGAACTCGGGTTTGATTCCACCATCGGGCGACTTTTGTGTGGAGTTTGCACATTCTCCCCGTGTCTGCATCGGTTTCCTCCGGGTGCTCCGGTTTCCTCCCACAGCCCAAAGATGTGCAAGCTAGGTGGATCGGCCATGCTAAATTGTCCATAGTGTTCATGGATTGTAGATTAGGTGGGTTATGGGGGGATAGGTCTGGGTAGGATGCTGTGAGGGTCGGTGTGGGCTTGTTGGGCCGAAGGGCCTGTTTCCACACTGTTGGGATTCTATGAATACAGATGAGCAGAAATTTCTTCACTCAAAGGATCATTAGTCTTAGGAATTCTGTGCCCTAGAGAGCTGTGGATTTACAGTCTTTTGAGTATATTCAAGGTCAAGATCTGATGGATTTTTTGGTATGGAGGGAATTAGGAATATGGAGACAGTGGTGTAGAGGTAGAAGAGCAGCTATGATTTTTATTGACTAACAGAACGTGCTGGAAGGGCCTTCCAACATACCCCAGCTTCAGTTTTTTTTTGTTCTTCTGGGCCAAAGGAAATGGGGAAGAACATGATAATTCCAGGAATGGTTGCACAACCATCACGTTGTTACATCTGAGCTCCTGAAGTCGCAGCCTATTGCAGATATATAACTAGAGGTGCCTTCATCACTCCAGCTTTATGGGTGACAGTTTGGGTCTCTTTTTGTTTAATTTTGTCTCAAGATATGGACCTCTCTGTCAAGGCCAGCTTTTATTACCCTTCCATAATTGGACTCGAGAAGCTGGTGGTTCAGTCCGTATAGTCACTGTTGTAATTTAGGAAATGAGACAGCCAATTTACACGCAGCAAGGTTCCACAAAGAACATTGAGAATAATGTCAAATTAACTTGATAAGCTAAAACAATGATTGAGGGATAAGCATTGGGCAGGTTACCAAGGAGAACTCCTTAATTACTCTTCAGTTTATGCCACATGATTTTTTTACATCTATCTGTGAGAGCAAACAGGGCCTTAGACTAATGTCATACCTGGAAGATGGCACCTTGGATGATGCAATGCTGCCATAGTATTGCAGTGAGTGGTTCCAGTTTATGGGTTCAGGTCTCCACAGTGGCTTGCAAATCTATAATCTCTAATTTAGGGACCTGATTTAATCCTTTTGCAGAGGGTAAATATTTGCACTGATTGCCTTAAGCCTTCCTGTACAGCAAGCTGAATATGGAGTGCCCCCACTGATGATTTTTTTTCTTTTATTTTATATCCAGAAATAGTCTTACTGAATGTTTGTTTTATTCCCCCCCCCCCACCAAATTACCTATAGTGATTTTTTTTTTAAATCGCTGATGATATTAAATCAACATTATTCTTCTTCCCTAGGGCATCTAATTTATGGATGTAACAGCATCCAGTAGCATCCTTCCATCATCTTGTTGCACAACCAGCTCAAACTCTCCTCTTGTTGCCTGTCTAAATCCATATATGACCATGAACCCCCTCCCCCCTCCACGCCTGTCACCAAACTCTCTCCTACTACAGCAAATCCTTCCCCAACTTGATTCCCTAGCTCTATCTCACTTTGTGTTCACAATTCATATAGTTGGTTTTTGTGGAATCAACCAATGGAAATCCCACAAAGTATTTTATTTTAATGAATTTCCCCCCCCCTCCTTCCTTTCTCTTTCAGGGAGCTCTGGAGCGAGACCAATTGGCTGCTGGTGGGCTTTGGTCAGCAGATGTGCCTGCCAGTGAATCCTCGCTGTGCTGTATGTCTCAACAGAGATATCTGTCCCACAGCCAAGAACAATCTTCGGAAAACAAATCCCAGGCTTCCTCCCAGCTCTCCGGTTCAGCCTTGCCAACAGCAACAATAATTAAATCCTTGTGTTTAGATGTTAGATTGTGGTATAAATTATTCAAAGGATGGGGAGATGTTTGTCCCAAAGTTAACTAAAACAGAACTGTATGTGATCTTGTCAATGGATTCCAGTTGCTGGTGGAGCATTGAACTCAATTGAATAATGGTGTTCCCAGTGAGAACACCGTGCAGTTCGTAAAGATGCATCATTAGCAGGACTGGGTATCGCAGCCTGGTGGCAAGTGCCTTATACTTAGAGAGCCAGGCAAGTCTCCTATGCTAATGTGCAGTTTTACATAGAATTTAGATGCATCACCAGTAAACCAAATGGTTGAAATTCCATTGAGTGCTACTTTGGGTAACACAGCAGCTCAGTGGTTAGCACTGCTGCCTCACAGCATCAGGGACCTGGGTTTGATTCCACCCTCAGACGACTGTGCGTGGAGTTTGCATATTCTCCCCATGTCTGCATGGCTTTCCTCCCACAGTCTAAAGATGTGCGGGTTAGGTGAACTGAGCATGGGAAATGCAGGGTTACAGTGAAAGGGTAGGAGTGGATGCTGTTCAGGGGGCTAGGTGTGGAGTCAATGGGCCAAATGGCCTGCTTCCACACAGAAGAGATTCCATGATTCTAGCCCACTGATTAAGGTGCTTGCTTTAAGTTCTGATTTCCTCCCTGCTTCATCGGGTAAACAACATGAACCAGTGGGCAATAAATTTTGCTTCAGCTTGCCAACCAATGCTTTGAAAATAGAATTTAAATGATCGCTTAGCATCCCTTATTAACCTGTGGTTTGGTGTACATTTTTGTGTAAGTAAATAGAAGTGCGGTGGTATCCTTATTTGGCATATCTATTTTTGGTCAGTGCTTTTTTTTTTTGAAAAACAAAAAGCATTTTCCTTGTATTCCTCCCACCAATCACCTAGATCAGCAGAACAGGAGACTTATTCTCACGTCTCATTTTCCAGTCAGCCTGTTTCTGGGTTAAGATTACTTTAGAGTTTCATGTCCGTGGAAGTTAGAAGCATTTAAGTCTGAAAGTTGATAGGACCGTTTTATTTAAAATGCCTTAAATGTGAGTGGATGGGTGGATAAATATTTCACACGACAGATGCAAATCTCAATAAAAGAAGAACAATCGTGGAAATACTCAACTTTAATCAGATAGCATCAGTCACTAGAGAAACAGAACAGACATCAAGTGGAGAACTTTTCATTAGTTTTAGATGAAGGGCTATTAGAATATTAATCCTTCTTTTTCTCTCTCCACAAATGCTGCCTGATTGGCTGAATATTTCTGGTACACGTGACAGAGGCGCTTTACTTTGCACATGTGGAGGTGCTGTTGTTGAACTAGGGTGGACAAGGTCAAAAATCACACGATGCCAGGTTTATTTGAAGTTATAAGCTTTCCGAGTCTTGCTCCTTCATCAGGTATCAGTGAGAGAGGTGGCATAAGACGCAGAATTTATAAGTAAAAGATCAAAGGCTCATAGGTTTGTTCAGTACTTTCGCATCAGTTCTCAGATGGCTGTTAAATCTTTAATCAATTAGAAATGATTAATATGCAAATCCAGAGTTTCTCAAGTCACTGCCCCGAGATAACTAAGGGTTTTTATCAGTATACCAGAGCTGACATCTCAGATCGGACAATGCATTTTAGGTATGAGGCCTTATTTAGAATCTTGCTGTGTATTAACTTGGAGTCCAACTGGTTTTATTTCCATGGTAGGAATTTATAAAATGCCACATTGATTGTCTATAAATTGTGTGCTTCTTGAACAAAATAGAATGCATCTGCAAATGGAAATTCACCTCATAGATTTGTGCGTGTGCGTGCATGCATGAGGGAGAAAGAGAGAGTGTGTGTGTTCTCCTCTTTCTCCCCCCCCCCCCCATGCACATACATAATATAAATCTATAGGGTGAATTTGAGATTGTGGATACATATTATTTTGTTCAAAAAGTATACAAATTTGTAGACAGTCAGTGTGACATTTTATCAATTCCTACCCTGGAAATAAAACCACTCTGACTCCAAGTTAATACACAGCCAGATTCTAAACAAGGACCTGACCTGAGACATCACCTCTGGCATACTAATAAAACCTTTTATCTGGGGGCAGTGACTTGAAAGAAATTCTGGGATTTGCATGTTAATCCTTTCTAACTGATTAAAGATTTAACAGCCTGCTTAGGTTCATTCAACACATTCGCATCAGTTCTATGACCCTTTTGATCTTTTGCTTATAAATTGAGTCTGATGCCACCTCTCTCACTTACACCTGAAGGAGGAGAGCGACTCCGAAAGTTAGTGTCTCCATATAAACTTATTGGATTATAACCTGGTGTCGTGTGATTTTTGACCTCACTTTGCACAGTATTGCTTTTGAAATGTCACTGCTCTCTCAATGCACCCTTTTCCATTCAGCACTAACTGAACCCTGTAATTTGTTCACTCTTTCCTTTGAGCCCTGTGATCTTATCACTTGCCTTACTGTTTCCAGCAACGAAACATCAAAGATGTGTTCCTTGCAGCAGATAAGTACAGCAAGACCAATGGCCAGAAGCTGGGTTAAAAGGTTTGGAAGCAACGAGGAAACAAATCAACTTATAATGCCAAAGGTTATAGCAAAGTGATGCTTTCTCTGCCCATCCTCTTAATTCCTTTGCTTGTTATTTCAACACAATAATTCATTTATTCATTAAAATGTAAGAATGGAACACCTTAACATATGAAATGTGCTTTCACTAGTATCACCAGAGCTATCTGGGCCATTATTTGGATAACTGGTTGGATTGTTATAGTCTGTCACTAGTCATGTTTAAATCAGTGCAAATTCGTTAAACTAACCCTAGTACCATACCGGACTTCAAACACATGAACACCAGAGAATCCTAGTACGTTCATGTATCAGGCAGATGCTGTCTAAATTTTAGGGTGAGGCCAATTACTTCACCATGGAAGTAAAAGCTTCTGATTGGTACTAACTCAGGACAGATGCAGTGTCTTGTAAAATGGATGCATTGCATTGTTCAACTCTATTGTACAAATATAAAACATTCTAATTCTGATTTTGTACTTGTAGTGTTTTACCTTCTCTAATTCGTATCTTTCCTTGTATATTAAGTAGCAGTACATACAGCACTGCAAACTGTGGGTATTGAGATAAGTTAAATTAACCAACTCTTCTCTCTTCATACAGTTTAACTATCTCTTGTGGGTGAATGCAGAACCTGTTAGTAGATTCAAAAGTATTTGGGAAAACTGTTTTAAATACATAGAAATTATCAGGGAAAACAAAAACAATCTAAGGAATAGACTGTGCACACAAATTGGAGTGTGGCTTGTCTACTAAAGCATACTGAGATAGCTATAACTGAATGGGCAAGATTGTTCAGCCTGTCGAACACATGCCTTTCAAGGTATGCTCAGGAAAATAAAAAGCAGATGACGCTGGGAAAATGCCTGGAAGCCCAAATACTGAGATGATGGGATGTATGCGGTTGGCAATACTGTTCAGTACCTTAACTCTTCTCCTGGAGTGTGGGTGCTTGGCTGTGGTGGGGGAAAAGGTCTGTTGCTATGTTATTGAGAGTCAATTAGAAGATACAATGTAATCACAAAAATTCCACTTTTTTCATTCAAATAAAACTTATATAAAAATCAACACGAATGGTCATAAAAAGTCATTTTCCCAAAAAGTCTAAAACAAGATTTGTGGACTGAATTTTATGAATGGGTTCAGTTTTGCTATTGTCTTTCTTTATATAGTTTGACACAGTAAAGTTTATTTTAAAAAACAGGTTCACATAGTGTGTCCTCGTTGCAATTGATGAATGTTTTCTCACTGTGACTTTCTTCATTCTAATAATTCTTCAATTTGACTTGCCACTGGTCAATGTATAGCTGAGAAGCTGTGTAAAGCCAAAGCACAGTGAACATTCTCATCATCAAACCATAAAACTGAATGCGAAAAAAAAAAAAAATCTGCGTAAGTCAAGTAGTTGTACTTGATTAGCTCCAACTTTGGGTTGTGGAATAAGCAAAACAAGAAGGTTGTAGTTCGGATGACCAGGGAAATAATTATGAAACCCTGTTGGTTATTTGAATTAGAGTCATAGAGATGTACAGCATGGAAACAGACCCTTCGGTCCATGCCAACCAGTTATCCTAAATGAATCTAGTCTCACTTGCCAGCATTTGGCCCATATTCCCTCTAAACCTTCCTATTCACATATCCATCCAGATGCCTTTTAAATCTTGTAGTTGTACCAGACTCCACCACTTCCTCTGCCAGCTTGTTTCATACACACACCACCCTCTATGTGAGGAAGTAGCTCCTTAGGTCCCTTTTAAATCTTTCACCTCTCACCTTAAACCTATGGCCTCTAGTTTTGGACTGCCCTATCCTGGGGACAAGACCTTGGCTATTCACCCTATCCATACCCCTCATGATTTGATAAACCTCTATAAAAGGTCACCTCTTCAGCCTCCGACACTCCAGGGAAAATAGCTCCAGCCTATTCGGCCTCTCCCTATAGCTCAAACCCTCCAAGCCTGGTGACATCCTTTTAAATCTACTCTGAACCCTTTCAAGTTTCACAACATATTTCCGATAGCAGGGAGACCAGAATTGAACACAGTATTCCAGAAGTGGCCTAACAACTTTAAAGCACAAAAAGAGGAGCCCGTCTGGTCTACCCTGATGTTTATACTTCCCACCTGGTTCAGCTTTCGTTTGATTCCTTTCCCTGTCATGTAATTACATAACTTCCCCCTCAAAAATCTGTCTCCTATACGCCTCAACCAATGTGATAGCGCATTCCATATTATAGCCAAATATTATGGTCCCTCCCATCACAGCTGCAATGTCTTATCTATGAAGGGGTTCTGGTTGATGGATTTTGATTAAAAGATCTGGTAGTTCACCCTTCAGATTTTGAGGAAAGAATTGCAGTCTGATGGGTCTTTCGTGATAATTATAACCTCCCAGTTCATAACCACAGTGCCAGAACCAAACAGGGCACTGAAGTTTTGATTTAAATTCCACGAGGTGTTAGATCCTGTGCAGAGCTTAAAACCATCATGATCATACAATTATCACCAAAATAAAGACTGGGGTTTTCAAAGAGAACATGTAATACAATACACAGAGTATCTCTTAAAGAGTTTGAGCACGACCTTTACGTATATTTAGTTATTCAAACCTGCATTCTTTATTGGGAGAAAACTCTCAAAATGCCGAGCATCAATTAGTGGGCCTGTAATGCTGGTTCACTTCCAGATCATGACATGTCAGTGTTAGAGCAGTCACAAGACATGCTCAAAAAGCTCATTAAGGGGAAATGTAAATACAGTCAACTAGAATTCCTGTAATCGAGGCTGAATCTGCCAATTGCTGCTCTTTGCTCATCACCGATGTTTGAGATCAGTCAGAGTTGACAAAAGGATTTCCTCCTGTTTGGGTTTATGCTAACTATTTAAGAAACTGAACAAGATTTCAAAAAGGGACAAACAAAGCAGACAAACTTTGCCTCAAATTTGAAAAAAAAATCTTCCATCTGTATTTTTGACCTTGCTTTCCCCATTTTCTTTTACTTTTTAAAATGAAACTTATGAAAACAAAGTACTGGAGAAACCAGTACATCTAGTAGCATTGGTGGAAACAGAAAGAGTTTTAACATTCAGCCCAATATGACTCTTCTTCAGCATTGACTAAGCATTTGCAGTAATCAGTGCAGGGATGACCCTGTACCCAGAGAATATGACTTCAAGTGCTTTTACGCACAATGGCACCACAGAGTACCTGGGGAAGAGTCATTAGAGATGTACGACACAGACCAGATATTCTAAATTAATCTAGTGCCATTTGCCAGCATTCAGCCCATATCCCTCTAAGCCCCTCCCATTCATACACCCAACCAGGTGTCAAGGAAAACATAGCAATGAGTTAAGGAGGGCAGCACCAAAGCAAAAGATTGCAAAAATATTCTTAATTGTATTCCAAACTAAATTTCTCTGGCAACCAACATTCCTGAACCATAACAAAGACCTTGGCAGTACTGGTGGGTGATTGGTAACATTTAGGTAGGCAGAATGCCAATAGAGCTGTATATGTAGTGTGCTTTGACATTTGTTGGATACAAACAAAATCAAATAAACTTGCCATTTAACAACTGAATATTTTCTCTAAAGTGGATTTCTAGGAGTTTTGTTTAGCATTGCTTGAAATTACAGTCACAGAACAACTGCAACGCACAATATGTGAATCAAGAATGAAGGAATATTGGCAAAGCTGTGTGAAAAGGAGTGGGACTAACTACAAAGAGCTGTCACAGACACAATGGGCTGAATGGCTTCTATGTTGTAATATTAAATGGAAAGAAATATTCCATCCGCATATGTCAAAGGAGAATTAATTCACAATAATATTGCAGCACTTTACAAAATTTTGAGAAAATACCAAAGAAAGTAATTGTTTGGTGTGCCAGTTATCAAGACAGGGGGCCAGCAATGGGTAGAGGAAAAGTAACAGATGCTTCAGGCAGATGCAGGATGGAGAACGGATTCTCTTCACTCCAGTAATGTTCCTAAAGGAAACGCTGAAATGACTTCTTCCTTCCATTAATGAACAGATTGGAAAATTCTTGCAAGTATCAGGCTGAGAACACAGAAGTAAGTAACGGTTTCCTTTTAGAGGAAGAAAAGTATTTTCTGACCCATTCAACCCCAATTATGCAGCTCCCATTCAATACCTCAGTTCTTGCTGGGTTACCTAAGGAAGTGTAAAAAAAGCACTAATGAAAAGTCAATGTGGTCTGCACTCAACCAATCTCCAATTTTCCCCAGTCCCCAACCCACAGATCTTTATGCTCCTGCCATTCTGGCTGCTCACAGATCCCTAAATTAATCCATTATTGATGACCCTGTCTTCAGCTGCCTCACCTCCCCAAGCTCTACCTCTCTAGAACGCCTACTGCGTTCAAAATATTTCCTAAAACCTACCTGTTGGACCATTTTTAAGCTCACCCATCCCAGTGTCTTCTCTTGGGGTTTAGAGACAGATTCCATCTGTTAGTCACATGTGTGAAATGCCTGGGAAAGTTTTAATTCATTATCAGTGAAAAGTCCGGTCTGGATTACACCTATTTGTGGAAGTTTAAAAGGCATGACCGTTGCAATGCTATCCAAAATCTAACTGAATAAACTGAAAGCAACCAGCTTTGTCATGCTGAGATACATTTATTGACAATATACAGTATACACAGAAGACCATATTATACAAGTTACTGAAGTGTGCTTACAGGGGTTTCAAACTAGATTCCCAGAAGTACAAGACATAATGACCGCACAAATCACTGGTATCAGAAATTTGCCTGATTATATAAATGTTTGCGTGCTTTCCTTCAAGTAGCAATTTATCTTGCATTATTACCTGCCACATATTCAGCTAGAAAGCAAAGATTATTCAGTTCCTATTACAAATGGCTTTCATGCTGATTAATACATTCCACCTCTCAGGGCTGACGACAGTCCACAAACCACCTAATTTTCCTTATCAGCATTTAACTTTTTCCAGCCCGTTTTGTTTCCAGCATTTTAAACTGAAATTACAACAAAATAAAAATCCTGTGAATGCTGGAAATCAGAAACAAAAAAAACCCTCGATCATATAGCATTTGTGGAGAGAAATACAAAGTGTTAAACATTTCAGGTCAAATGATCTACTATAAGATTTTAGTGATATGTTCTAGTGGCAGTAATCAACTTGAACTATTAACCCTAAAACAAAAGCAAAATATTGCAGATGCTGGATATTCTGAAATTAAAAGAGAGATAGCTGGATCAACTCAGCAGTTCTGGCAGCATCTGTGGACAGAAACAAACTTAATGCTTCAAGTCCAATTTAACTGTTTCTCTCTCTACAGATGCTTCCAGTCTTGCTGAGTTTCTCCAAGTCTTTGTTTGTATTTCTGAAATATTAACACTGCTTTGTCTCTCCAAAGATGCTTCCTGATTTGCTGAGTGTGTTTCCAGCATTTCCACGTTTTATACAAAGATTTGTTGAAAGTTCATGCTTGCTTCAGTCTAAAAGTTACAAGATCCATGCAAATCCCAAACAGTGTTACAGACTCCTCTGTTAGCAGTGTTATGCAATGTTTCTAGTCATTTTATACCTTGAATATGTAGAAACTATTCAAAATGTGGCACATAGATTTTGGCCTTGTGTGAATAAGGATCATTAAAATATACAAGGTTGGAAATAAACAGCCATGGTGTGTCACAAGAGGCCAAAGTTAAAAGCTGAGCATTGCAACAAAAAAAAATTATCCAGGAATTGCAGCCAGCTGCAGAAGGGGTCTCGCTTACAACTAGAGCACACAGGCACACAAGAAAGTGAATTATTCTATTCTCAGAATTCAGGACTGGAAAACATTAAAAGAGGGAACGCAGGGAAAAAAAGATGTCTAAATAGAAGGAGCTGGTCAGAAGCTAGAACATCGAAATAGATTGACCTGCTACCCTTTACAATTCTCAGTCGATGCAGGACATACATACTTGACAATCTTAAACCTATCTCTTCCAACTACTTTCATCTCATTAGAGCACCAGCCTGCAGGAATCCTTCGAACATATGTTTCAAATAGATTTTATTACTGCATTTAA